CACAGCTAAAACAAAATTCAAGTTTCCAGAGTTACAGATAAATCTATTTTTCTAGACAGGGGTGTCTAGGTGTTCAATATGTCTATATTTTAATGTATCAGTTATTGCTACATTTTGGTAGTGGGTAGAGATGTATTTTTCAATGAAATTTTTAAAAAAATTATATTGTTAACGGCTAAAATTCTTACGGCATTTTTTTCCTTCGTATATTTAAAGATTTAAAGAACACTAGATTATATATCTTACTGTTCTTTCTTTATATATATATATATATATATATATATATATATATATATATATATATATATATATCCAGAGACGGATAAGCAATGTTTTTGGTCCTGATCTGGCATCTCGTCTTCAGTCGCTCTCTCACAGACGTGCCGTCGCCTCCCTCTGTCTTTTCTACAAATACTTTCACGGTAACTGCACCGACGATCTACTCTCTCTAGTTCCGAGACTGCATGAATTTAAGCGTGCTACTAGGTTGGCATCACGGTCCCACCCTTTCACTGTCGAAACGGTAAACGTGGCCGTCTCTTCTACTCCAATAGCTTCATGTCCCGCACCTCTCGCCTGTGGAACCCCCCTTTTCCTGTTTACCTGATAGCTATAATCTTCAACTATTCAAATGTGATGTCAATCGACATCTCCAGATGCCTTGATCTATTCCCCGTCAATCTCTTCATTCTTTCCTCCGTCACACTTTTTTACTCTGGCTCCCACTCTGTAACCCTTTGGGTACCCGCCTTGCTTGGGGTGAAATGCTTGAAAAAAAAATAAACAAGAAAAACCTGAATCGTTAAAATTAATAATTAAATAAAAGAATAATTAAAATAAATAAATAATTAATAGCTCAAAAGAAAATGTAAGGAGAAAAATAGATAATATAAATGAAACATAGATTAAAATTAAGATTATATATACATACCTATAGGCAGGGCACCTCGAGGTGGTGTAATGGCTAGCAAGTGAGTTCGATCCTCATTGGGTGTCCCTTACTTTCGGCCTTGTGCCACATCCAAGCTACGCTTTGAAAATCACTACATACCTATAGGCACGTTGCGTAATGGATAGCGGCTTGGATTGAGGAATCGGAGAGCCGAGTTCGAATTCCAGTCGAATCCATTACATTCACTTACGTGTTAATACCCTTGGGAAAGGTGTGAATCCTCTTCTTCTCCCTCCAGCTATATAGCAGGACAGACTGGGTTCTATAGCCTTGGATGGCTAGGAGAAGGACAACATTGAATTTCAAAAAATTTGGGCACCTTGTGGCATGTCTCTGTATTTGGCCCTTCAAAAAGTGTGGATGATCCTGCACAAAACCTTTACACTATAAACAAATCTCATGTCACAATCAAATCGTGTGCATTGACAAGAAAAAAGGATAGATTCAAAATTAAATATCTTTCAAGCAAGTAACTACTTTTACAGAAACCAAGAGCCACTCAAAGTAGAGGATTAACAAATAATGTTGTTTTAAGGGTGCGCAAGCAGGGAATATGGAGGGGTCATTATTCTTAATCCAGGTAGATGGAAAAATTATCGCTACTATCCATACGCATATCGATCATCACTGGGCCCCATTTTTTAGGCCTTGTGCCACATCTAAACCACGCTTGGAAAATCAATATATCGTGTCGATAATGTTAGCGTAAACAGGTTCAACTTCCACGCCTGTGATGGACGCTTGAGGGTGATATGTAGAACTGTATGACAACCTCTGCTTGAGTGTATTTACACGGGACGCTAAGAAGCAACACCTGGGATTATAATGTGGACGATAAACTACATCCATCAGAAAGGCCTCTGATCGAAACATTGGCGGTATTAACTCCTTCCCCCGCCCCACTTCGACGAGATGTGGCACAAGGTCTTTTTAGGTGGGAGACCCAGGCGCGTACGCCCGGGCCAAGGACGAAAATTGCCCTCAGTCCCCGCAACCGTCGCTTGCGCTGGCCTCGGTGCGAGCACCGATCCCTCCCTCTGGTGCAATGGGAGGGCGCGGTTTCAGGCAGCTGTTCCCCAGAGTTGTGCACCGCTTACTATAATTTTCTCAGTTGCCCCTCTGCCCTTCGACAGAGGGGCAAAACGTTGCTACCCACTCACAATACTGTCGCTACTGTCATGGCAAATATTCAGGCGAAACACATTCTTTGTTCAAACAGTTCAGATATTTACGACTTAGACTTTGTATACCACGTGCACGATCAACACATCCTCTGCCCAAAGAGAGTGACACAACTGAGAGATGATAAGCCTGCGGTGAAACCCCCTCCAAGGAGGAATTTATACGCTGATCGAAACATTGGCAATTTAAAAAAGAGTGGAAACATCTATTATTCACCGTTGTTCCCAGATATACACTGATTCGGGGGTGCACCTGTTAGGGTCCCAGATATGGGCAAGTAGTGAACCCCAAACCAAAACCTTATGAAAGTATAAAAATACATTTCTATAGTAAAAATACAGCAATATATTTTTAAATAAAAAAAAGTTACCAACAATACATATTTATATTAAAATCATCAACAATACACACATATTAAAAAAATATAGCGACTACATCCAAATCCATTTTAAATACTACCAAAAAACCAACATAATCTCTTTCATGGCACTAATCCATATACTATCTGACAATATATTAAATGAATTAAACTTTACCTATATGTATATTTCTCAAAATGTTTGTTTATGTGTTTGTGTGTGTGTTTCTGTGTGTGGTGGGTGCTTCTGTGTGTGGGTGTGTTTGTGTGTGTGATTGGATGTTGTTTATGCCTTTCCATATTTTTCATCCGATTTCAATGAATTCTTTTTTGTTTGATAGATAATTCTTCAGTGCCGGTTTTGAGTTCAAATTGATTGGAAAAAAATTACAACCTTGAAAGTGAAAAATCGAAAAAACTGATTTTTTTTACACTTTGTGCAGAAAACAAAGGCACAATTTAATCTCTGTAAAAAACAGCGTACAATCAATTTAGACAGTTGAAATCTAACGCAAAATGTTATTAGAATTATAAAAAAAATATATATTATCAATACAAATTATCGTATATTATTATAATGACGGGTCATGGAAGAGTTTCCTTCTATGAGAACGCAAAAATCCACGGCCTTTTTCAGGGCAACCCTCCATTCAAATTGGTAACCTACCATTTGGGGATGTGCATCAGTTGCACCAAAATGTTGTTACGAATATTGATTTTCGGGTGGGATAACTTTAAACTTAAACTGCTTCAACTGAACGGCATATATTCCCAGTAATGAAACACCCGGTTCTAAAATATAACATCAACAAAACTACAATATAAAACCTACATATCACCACCTCTAGCAACTGTCCACAGAAAAATGTGTATACACAAAAGCTGAGTATCATCTACCATGTATTCAATTGTGAAAGTAGAATTACATCTACATCCTTGTGCAAATTAATTGAAACAACAGCTTTACTTTCCTTTCTTTCACCATACAGTCAAATTTAGACCCATTGGAATGACAGGGTGTAATCAATTTCTATTTTTTCCTCAGATTGAGTCATTTCTAGTGGTTTACCGTAATGTGAATCTATTTTCGGGGTGTATGTTGAAATTTGTTTGGTTTTGAAAAATATTGCGTCATCCCTGATTGCATCTGATTTTCATCAAGTTCAGACACTATTATCTCGACTGTTGATTAGTTGTCCTACGGCCATTTTCTGCGATGACCGCTACTCTAAGGGAATGTAGAAAAATTATAACGCTGCACCAACGCACTGGCGTGACTTACCAATGAACAAATCAAAGTATTTTAGACTGACCCGGAAATTCTACTGATTTAAATCCAATCGAGAATCTGTGATCAATCTGCAAGGAACGACTTCGTGGAATGGACATACGAAGTACTAACATGTGCAATAGGTCATGTTTCATTGTAAAAATACGCAAAAAAACGCAAATAATAACAGAATTATTCGTTTTGTTTCAATTAATTTGCACAAGGTTATGTACATATCTATATATCTATCAATGTATCTATGTATCTATGTATCTCTCTCTCTCTCTCTCTCTCTATATATATATATATATATATATATATATATTAAGGAAATTCTAATTTAAAATGGAAAAAATTAATTTTGAAATTCTCTACAAGGCCTTCAGCAAGACATACTCTATAGGACAGGATAGAACAAAACCCGACTCAATCAGAGCATCTATATTTTTATGCCAATTCTTTCAAGATATATGAAATGTGTCACAAGATGGTATACACAATATATTTGAATAGTAAGCACGTGAAAATATATAACTGCGTTAGTTGCGGCCTCATGGAGATAGATAAAGTGAGGAAGTTTCAAATATTTAGATATGTAGATATATATGAACACACTAAAATAGACAGATATAAAGAGAAATTAAAAAATAGCTATATATTCGAAAACATATATAGACTGGAATAGATAGACAGTTAAATAAATATATATATATATATACATAAATAAAGAGAGATGATGTGACATATATATATATATATATATATATATGTGTGTGTGTGTGTATATATATATATATATATATATATATATTGGAACATTTGGAACATAGACATAAACATAGTGTGACTGATATTAAAAAAGATTATCAAATACCGATTTAGATAAATAGTTAGCTAGCTATCTACCCCAGTGGATAGATAGATGGATAGATATAGTCAAATTGCCGCGTAACTAGATAGCTAGCTAGATAGAGAGATATGAACAGACATAGATAGATAGATTGATAGATTATGAGCAAACTGTGATATATATATATATGTGTGTGTGTGTGTGTGTTCGTGTGTGTGTGTGTGTGTTTGTGTTGGTAGGTAGGTAGGTAGGTAGGTAGGTAGGTAGGTAGGTAGGTAGGTAGGTAGGTAGGTAGATCGATGAAATGATATGACTTGTTTAGATATGTATTGGAACATAGACACAAACATGATGAGATTGATATTAAGAAAATGAGATAGATTTGAAA